CCGCGCGGGGCGGGCCCCAACCCCCCACAGCCCTCCATCCCATGGGGGCATCGGCATCCCGGCAGCCACCCCAGGGGTCGGGGACTGAGCAGCCACGGCTGTCCCCCGGCACCGTGCCGCGACCCACCGCTGCACGCCTGGTCCCGAGAACGTCCTCTGCCATTAAGCGTGTTCGGAGGAAGGGTGAGAATCCCGCTGAAATGCATTGCTGGGCTGGATGGGGCGTGGGAGGGGGCATCCATCCGTCCGTCCATCCGTCCATCCGTCGCTGAGGTGGGCACCCAAAGGCACCTTGAAGGGGTCGGGCAAAACAAAGTCACTGACTGGGACCCACCAGCAGCTCCTTGCGGAGATGCGTCCGCAGATGCTTCATGAGGGAAGAGCTGGACATGAAGCACTTGGTGCATTTGGTGCATTTATAAGGTTTCTCCCCGGTGTGGATCCTGCGGTGGATGATGAGGGTGGAGCTGGCCCGAAAGCTCTTCTCGCAGTAAGAGCACCGGTAGGGTTTCTCACCCGTGTGGATGCGCTGGTGCCTGCGGAGGGTGGTGCTCTCCCGGAAAGCTTTCCCGCAGTCGGAGCAGACGTAGGGCCTGGGTCCTACGTGGCTCTTCTGGTGGAGGAGGAGGGCGGAGTGGACGGTGAAGCCGACCCCGCAGTCGGAGCACTGGTAGGGTTTCTCTACCAAGTGCTTTTTCCGGTGTCGCTTGAAAGACGAGCTTTCAAAGAAGGCTTCCCCGCAGTCGGAGCACGGGTACGGGGGCTGGTCCCTGTGGGTCCTGAGATGGGCTACGAAGGCTGAGTTTTTTGGGAAGGTTTCCCCGCACTCGGGACACTTATAGGTCCCCTCCTCCATGTGAGTCTTGCGATGCTTGCTGAGCGATTTGTTGGCCATGAAGCTTTTCCCGCAGTCGGGGCACTCGTAGGGTCTCTCCCCCGTGTGTATTCGACGGTGGATGATGAGGGTGGACTTGGAAGTGAGTTTTTTCCCGCAGTCCGGACAGACGAAGATCGCACCTTCCGTGTGGCTCTTGCGGTGCTTGTTGAGGGACTTGTTGGCCATGAAGCCCTTCCCGCAGTCGGGGCACTGGTAGGGTCTCTCCCCGGTGTGTATCCTTCGGTGGATGATAAGAGCTGAGTTGGAAGTGAGGTTTTTCCCGCAGTCGGAGCACCGGTATGCCCCGTTCTCCAGGTGGAGCTTGCGATGTTTTTTGAGAGACTTGGCGGAAGCAAAGCGTTTCTCGCAGCTGGGGCACTTGTAGGGTTTCTCCTGGCAGTGGGTCTTCTGGTGGTCCTTGAGGGTGGAGCTGCACGCGAAACTTCTCCTGCAGCTGGAGCAGGTGAAGGGCTTCTCCCCCAGATGGACCCGCTGGTGCCGGTTGAGGGACGAACCTCGGCTGAAGCTTTTCCCACACTTGCCGCAGGCGTGCTTGTGCTGCCCCAGCCGCATTCTTGAGGGGCTCTTGGCGTTAGGTTTTCTCCCTTTCTGGCTGGAAGAAGCCGATCTCCTTCCCGAGTGGTTCTTGTGGCGCTCGTAGCCCGGGGAGATGCCACCTTTGGGCTTCCTCGCCGACCCACCGCGCAGCTCGCCGTCTTCCTCCTGGGAACTGTCCTCCTCCGTCTCGCTCGTCCACGCGTCGTCTGCCAAAAAAACCCAAAAAGGGAATCCACCTCGACCTCCACCCTGAACGTGCCGGGGAGGGAGCTTGAGGAGGGACGGAGAGGAGCACCACAAAACGTGACTGATTTCATCACAGGATCACAGACTGGTTTGGGTCGGAAGGGGCCTCTAAAGGTCATCTAGTCCAACCCCCCTGCCACGGGCAGGGACATCTTCGACTAGATCAGGTCGCTCAGAGCCCCGTCCAACCTGACCTGGAATGTTTCCA